AAGGAAGGAAGGAAGGAAAGAAAGAAAGAAAGAAAGAAAGAAAGAAAGAAAGAAAGAAAGAAAGAAAGAGGGGTAAAGTGTATGAGGGAAAGCAAGGAAAGAAGGAAAGAGCCACAAAGAAAATGCATACTTAGGCAACACTGGGAATATACATTAATCTTGTCCAATAAAAGAGAAATTGATAGAGTTGATAGGGAGAGTAGAAAGAATGGGAACAATTCATAATTGGCTAAATAGTATAATTTCCCCAGCGGTGTTGGGCGCAGACATCCTGTGATAATGCGGCATGTCTCATGAAGAGCCACATCCACTGTTTTAGTGTGGTGAGATGTGTTCAACACTAGGCATGCGTATTCAGCAGCAGAGTAGCAAAGCACAAGGGCAGGTGTCTTCGCTGTGTCTGGTTGTGATCCCCAGGCTGTGCCAGTCAGCTTTCCTATGATATTGTTTCTAGTGCCTACTTTTTGCTTGATATTTCAGGCAGTGCTTCTTGTAGGTATTGCTGGAAGAAGAATATATGAAAAGAGTAAAGGCAGGGACTGTTCTAACTCTCTTCTTTCCAACTTTGCAGCCGAATTCAGCATATGGACCCGGGAGGCTGGTGCCGGAGGTCTTTCCATTGCGGTGGAGGGTCCCAGCAAGGCAGAGATCGCTTTTGAGGACAGGAAAGATGGCTCTTGCGGAGTCTCCTACATTGTCCAGGAACCAGGTAGGGTCATGGGTAGCTTGGCATTACAACAACAACAACAAGCATTTTGCAGTTGCAAATCTCCTGGGATCACTACATTTTATCCCATTGTATTTCGTTCATTCATAACATTGAGCCATGGCCGTTAAAGTGGGGCTAAAGTGCATTAATTCTGCATCGTATATTATGCACCCATTTGAATCTTCTCAAAGGGTAATAGTCGAACCTAGATATTATTCAGAGCCATTTGGATCTCTTTAGGAGGGCAAAATTCCAGCCAGCTTAAAGCAAGCTGTTATAAAACCGCTGTTGAAGAAACCATCACTGGACCCCACTCAATTCGTCAACTATCGGCCTGTTTCCAATCTCCCCTTTTTGGGCAAAGTCATGGAACGTGTGGTGGCCTCACAACTCCAGGCATTCTTGGTAGACACGGATTATCTGGATCCGGCACAGTCTGGCTTTAGGCCGGGGCATGGTACCGAGACAGCCTTGGTCGCCTTAGTGGATGATCTGCGTCGGGAGCTCGACAGGGGGAGTGTGTCCCTGTTGGTGCTGCTCGACCTCTCAGCGGCCTTCGATACCGTCGATCACGGTATCCTTCTGGGACGCCTCGCGGGGATGGGTCTTGGAGGTACTGTTTTGCAGTGGCTCCGCTCATTCCTCGAGGGTCGGTCTCAGATGGTGTTACTGGGAGACTCCTGCTCAACTCCACAACCTTTGCTTTGTGGGGTTCCCCAGGGTTCAATACTGTCTCCCATGTTGTTTAACATCTACATGAAGCCGCTGGGCGAGATCATCCGGAGTTTCGGAGTGAGATGTCACCTGTACGCAGATGATGTCCAGCTCTGTCACTCCTTTTCACCTGCTACTAAGGAGGCTGTCGAAGTCCTGAACCGGTGCTTGGCCGCTGTGACGGTCTGGATGGGGGCGAACAAATTGAAATTGAATCCAGACAAGACAGAGGTACTCCTGGTTAGTCGTAAGACCGAACAGGGTATAGGCTTACAACCTGTGTTGGACGGGGTCACACTCCCCCTGAAGACACAGGTTCGCAGTTTGGGTGTGATCCTGGACTCATCGCTGAGCCTGGAACCCCAGGTTTCGGCGGTGACCAGGGGAGCATTCGCACAATTAAAACTTGTGCGCCAACTGCGACCGTACCTTGGGAAGTCTGACTTAGCCACGGTAGTCCACGCTCTGGTTACATCCCGCCTTGATTACTGCAACGCTCTCTACGTGGGGCTGCCTTTGAAGACAGCCCGGAAGCTCCAACTAGTCCAACGGGCGGCAGCCATGGTACTAACTGGAGCGGGGCACAGGGAGCACACAACTCCTCTGTTGCGCCAACTCCACTGGCTGCCGATATGCTACCGGGCTCAATTCAAAGTTGGTTTTGGCCTTTAAAGCCCTAAACGGTTCTGGCCCAACTTATCTATCCGAACGTATCTCAGCCTATCAGCCCACCAGGACCCTAAGATCTTCTGGAGAGTCCCTGCTCTCTATCCCACCGGCTTCCCAAGCGCGGCTGGTGGGAACGAGAGACAGGGCCTTTTCTGTGGTAGCCCCTCGGCTTTGGAACACCCTCCCTTCAGAGATACGATCGGCTTCTTCGCTGATGGTTTTCCGGAAGAGGTTAAAAACATGGCTGTGTAGTCAAGCGTTTAACTAGTTATCAAACACTGAATCCATGGACAATTTGGACTGGTCAATTACGGACAACGATCTCTGGACTGCGATTTTTGTGATGAGAAGCATGAAGTTTTATTGGTGGCCCAATAATTCGTATTGTTTTATATGTTGCTGTTTTTAAATTGTATATTGCTTTTATCTGTTGTTAAACCGCAATGAGTCGCCGTTCCAGGCTGAGATACTGCGGTATATAAGTGTATTAAATAAATAAATAAATAAATTGTGGTTATGACTATTACGTCAAGCCTCGTCACATTATCTCTTGTGGAATTTGACCCTAACCCTGCCTTGCTCCTCCTCCAGGTGACTATGAGGTCTCCATCAAATTCAATGACGAGAACATCCCCGACAGCCCATTCGTGATCCCCGTGGCTTCCCATTCAGACGATGCCCGGCGCCTCACGGTCACAAGCCTCCAGGTACCAGTTTGACCCATTTGGCTCTCAGTGCAATCAGTTGGGAATATCACATGCTATGGAATCAAATGTTGCATGTGCAATCAAAAACAATTTGTTCTTATCCAGAGAAGAGGGAAAACGGAATAACCTGCAACTTGAAAGAATATCCAAAGATACCAGATCTGGGTTTAAACACCTTGCATGTAACTTTCATTAAGCATTTGAAATCATTCAAAAGTTTGGTGCCATTCTCTCATTCATCCATCCTCATACAAGGCCCCTTCCAAAGAGTTGATCAGTTGATCTCTTCTATAGTTCATAGAATCATAGAATCAAAGAGTTGGAAGAGACCTCATGGGCCATCCAGTCCAACCCCATTCTGCCAAGAAGCAGGAAAATTGCATTCAAATCACCCCCCGACAGACGGCTATCCAGCCTCTGCTTCAAAGCCTCCAAAGAAGGAAACTCCGCCACACTCCGGGGCAGAGAGTTCCACTGCTGAACGGCTCTCACAGTCAGGAAGTTCTTAAAATCATAGAATCATAGAGTTGGAAGAGACCTTGTGGGCCATCCAGTCCAACCCCATTCTGCCAAGAAGCAGGAAAATCACATTCAAAACACCCCTGACAGATGGCCATCCAGCCTCCAAAGAGAGAGCCTCCACCACACTCCAGGGCAGAGAGTTCCACTGCTGAACAGCTCTCACAGTCAGGAAGTTCTTCCTCATGTTCAGGTGGAATCTCCTTTCTTTCTTGTAGTTTGAAGCCCTTGTTCCATTGCGTCCTAGTCTCCAGGGAAGCAGAAAACAAGCTTGCTCCCTCCTCCTCCCTGTGACTTCCTCTCACATATTTATACATGGCTATCATGTCTCCTCTCATTCTTCTCTTCTTCAGGCTAAACATGCCCAGCTCCTTAAGCCGCTCCTCATAGGGCTTGTTCTCCAGATCCTTGGTCATTTTAGTCACCTTCCTCTGGACACATTCCAGCTTGTCAATATCTCTCTTCAATTGTGGAGCCCAGAATTGGACACAATATTCTTGCTGATGTTATCTGAAAGTTGTAAATAAATGACAGGCAGCTAAAACATGTTGATTCCATCAATTCCTGGACAGAGGTCCACCACTATAAATTACTTACTTACTTAGGCAATCCCTTGTAGCTTGAGGATGATGGTCTTCCAGATGCGTTGTCTTGGCAGTGGAGCCGTAGGTGGCTGTGGAGCCCTATTCTTGACCTACATGTTCCCCCACACTGAGGACATCGGTTTTCAGGTGGAAGGCGGTCCAGATCAGGGTTGGCTTGACACACCTTCCTCTTGGCACGTTTCTCCCTTTCACCCTCCATTCGTGCCTCTTTGAATTCTGCAGCACTGCTGGTCACAGCTGACCTCCAGTTAGAGTGCTTCCCAGTTCTCGGTGTCCATGCCACAGTTTTTAAGGTTGCTCATTGAAAAAGTGTGGGTGACCAGGAAAATCCCAGCAGATTTCAAGGATGCCACCATCACCACCCTTTTCAAAAAAAGGGGAAAGAACAGACTGCGGACACTATTGAGGTATCTCCCTTCTAACCTCCACTGGGGAAATCATCACATGAATCCTTGCAAACCACCCCCCTCAGAAGACACCCTCCTAGGATAAACTGCAAGAGAGACAAGCTAGGGATCCTAATGTATGAACACACACTTAACCTGTAAAAATGGCAACAATCTAGATGTAGTTTTTGTATGAAAAAACGCTGTTTTCTGCACAGAAAATCATTCTGTGTAGAAAATGCTGTTTTCTGCACAGAAAATAATTTTGTGTAGAAAATGTTGTTTTTTGCACAGAACAACATGCAAAGATCTATGTTAGTTCAGGGTTCTTCTGGTCAGGTGGACTCCACAATTCAGTTGCACATGTTAATATACTTTGCGTTTCTTTCATCCTTTGCTCCAAATGGGGCTTCTTTCCAAGATAGCCCATCCTGATTTGGCTCTGTGTAGGTCTCACTCACAGCCCCTTTTTTCTGTGTCCCTTGCAGGAAACGGGCCTGAAGGTCAACCAGCCGGCCTCCTTTGCGGTGCAGCTCAATGGGGCGAGAGGGGTGATCGATGCCAAGGTCCACACTCCTTCTGGAGTAGTGGAAGAGTGCTACGTCTCCGAACTGGACAGCGGTGAGTAGGCGCAGGGTCTGGTGGGCTGGAATGAGTGGAAGTGGGCTCTTTCAGTCACAAAATCCCACATTGCTTAGCTAGGCAATACTACTATTAGGTGGATCTGTAATTGGTTAAGCAACCAAACCTAAATGGTGCTTCTCCCCAATGGTCCCACCTCTTCATCCTGGAAAGAAGTGACTAGTGGAGTGCCACCAAGAGGGTTCGGACCTGGTCCTGGTCCTTTTCAACATCCTTATTAATGACTTGTATGAAGGTTTAGGGGGCAGGTTGATCAGGTTTGCAGATGGGACCAAATTAGGAGGGAGAGCTAATACTCAAGAGTACAGGAGCAGGAATCAAAATGACCTCAACAGATTAGAGAACCAATTGGCCAAAACTAACAACATGAATAACAAAAAATAGGCAAAGATACCTAATGGGTGATGCCTGGCTCGACAGCAGTCCATGTGAGAAAGATCTTGGAGTCTTCGTGGAGAACAAGCTGAACATGAGCCAAAAGTGGGATGCAGCAGTGAAAAAAGCCAGTGAGTTGAGTGTTCAGATTGAGATGAGTTGAGTGTCCAGATTGAGGGAAGTCCTGGTGCCTCTCTCTTCTGCTTTGGTCAGACCTCTTTACCTGGAATATCACTGTGTCCAGTTCTGGTCCACTGCAAAGATGCAGGATGGGTGATGCCTGGCTCGACAACAGTCCATGTGAGAAATATCTTGGAGTCTTCGTGGGGAACGAGCTGAACATGATCCAAGGGTGTGATGCAGCAAAAAAGTCAGTGGGATTCTGGGCTGCATCCAATATTACCATATCCCTTTCTTCCTCTTCCCTTGAGAAAGAAGCCCCAAAGTGACCAGACTGCTCCCGTGCAGATCTGCCACTCTCCATAGGGACACGATCTCTCTCCTTCCCATGGAGGAGAGCATGGCGGGTGAACCAGACTCCTCAGGTCTGCCACACTTTGAGCATTATTAGACCGAGTCTTTTATAGGAATATTCTGTTGATGTCATCCCAAAGTTGTAAATGAATGATAGACGTCTTCCATCCTGGATCTATCTCAGTTTCCTGCCCAGATGTTGACTCTTCTTGATCGGTGTTGACAAACACAAGGCTTGTGCTGACTTCCTTCTTAACATAAGGAACGTTGCAAACATTTCCTTAACTTGAAAGAACCATTGTCACAGTTCTTATCAATTCTCATTAGCAGGTTTTGATCAGAGTTCCATCAAGCAGGCAGTTAGTCATTGCAGGCCTTAATATTATACTGGTGTTTCCAAAATTATTAGCTCCATTCATACATCCTTCCATTCTTCCATTCATTCCCAGACATCATATTAAATTCATATTTGTCAAATCTGCACATTGAATTTCTTGTGACACACATACCAAAGGGTGCATCTACACTGTATACTTAACGCAGTTTGACATGACTTTAGTTGCTAGTCAGCTTTAATCACGAATTTCAAACTTGTGCCTTGTTTCATCTCTGTTCATTGCATTTTGAAATGTATTTTGTAGAAATATGTTTTAATATTTGTATTAATTCCCAGGATTCTATAGCATTGAGCCATAGTAGCTATAGAGGGGTTAAACCACATTAACTCTGTAGTGTAGATGCACCCGTAGTGGCACCCAAAAGCAAGTTCTGGAGGCGGCGTTGATAAGAAAGGAAAACACAGAATCTGCTCAGCCTTGGTCCGCTGTGTGAATGACCCCTTTGGTTCTGTCCTCCCCAGACAAGTACGCCATCCGCTTCATCCCCCACGAGAACGGCGTCCACTCCATCGATGTCCGGTTCAATGGCCGCCACGTTCCCGGCAGCCCCTTCAACATCCGCGTGGGCGAACAGAGCCAGGCGGGAGACCCGGGGCTCGTCACTGCTTACGGTCCAGGGCTGGAGGGAGGAACCACAGGTAAGGGCTTCTCCTTTCGTTGAAGGACTACCTGAAACAGCTCTCGTGCCTGCCTACCAGGCAGCGTGTGCAAGGCTTGCAGGGCTTTGCAATTGAGCAAGGGATGGAGAGACTTCCGTGGGTCACTCCAAAGCTATAAGATGGCCTTCATTCTCTTTGCTTGATGGACATCTTTATCCTTGTTGCAGTTTAATACAAGTAGCTTATACCTAGAAGTTATCCTTCTATATCCGCAGTCTGGGTGTCCTCCTGGACTCATCACTTACGCTTGAAGCTCAGGCGTTGGCGGTGGCCGGGAGGGCTTTCGCACAATTAAGACTCGTGTGCCGGCTGCGACCGTACCTCGTGAAGTCGGATCTGGCCAGGGTGGTCCATGCCTTAGTCACCTCCAGATTGGATTACTGTAATGCACTCTACATGGGGCTGCCCTTGAAGACAGCCCGGAAATTCCAATTGGCACAACGGGCAGCAGCCAGGTTACTAACTGGAGCGACTTACAGGGAGCGGTCAACCCCCTGTTTAAGGAGCTCCACTGGCTGCCATTCATTTTTCGGTCCAAATTCAAGGTTCTATAGAATCATAGAATCATAGAATCAAAGAGTTGGAAGAGACCTCATGGGCCATCCAGTCCAACCCCATTCTGCCAAGAAGCAGGAATATTGCATTCAAATCACCCCTGACAGATGGCCACCCAGCCTCTGTTTAAAAGCTTCCAAAGAAGGAGCCTCCACCACACTCCGGGGCAGAGAGTTCCATTGCTGAACGGCTGCAGGTTCTTACCCACAAAGGTGCAGGTTCTTACCTACAAAGCCTTGAATGGTTTGGGACCTGCCCACCTGTGTGACCACATTTCTGTGTACAAACCCACACGGTCTCTTCGTTCATCTGGAGAGGCCCTGCTCTCGCTCCTGCCTTCCTCTCAGGCTTGATTGGTGGGAATGAGGGAGAGGGCCTTCTCGGTGGTGGCCCCCCGACTCTGGAACTCACTTCCTAGGGATATTAGACATGCCGCAACACTGGCAGTCTTTAGGAGGAGCCTGAAAACGTGGCTGTTCCAGTGTGCCTTCCCGAAATAAGGAAATAATTCCCAGCAAAATGTCCTCGAATGCACTTTAACTATCCTGCTATTAGATATATCCTACCTTGTTCATGCCCAGCGTTCATTTTTTTAATTTTTAACTATATCATGTGGCCTGGCCATAGGTGTAACGTTGAGCATAAGATTGGTTTTATTGATTGTGATGTATAATTGATTGTTTTAATTGTTTTATAATTGCTGTTTATATATGTTTTATCTTATTGTCTGTGTTGGCATCGAATTGTGCCTTTTGTAAGCCGCCCTGAGTCCCCCCTCGGGGGTTGAGAAGGGCGGGGTAGAAATCCGCAAAATAAATAAACAAATAAATAAATAATTTTAAATCCTTGCATGTTAATGTTTATATGTGATTTATTTAATTGTATTGTTGTTATTTTTTGTTTATTGCTTTCTTGTTTATTGATGTGTTGTTGGGCTTGGCCTCATGTAAGCCACTCCGAGTTCCTTGGGGAGATGGAGGCTCGGTATAAATAAAGTATTATTATTATTATTATTATTATTATTATTATTATTATTATCAACAAGTTCTGCACCCATTGATTCTTTAAAAAAAATTAAAATATAGATTTGGCCATTTTATGTAAGGGACATCTTTTTACTATGCTGTTGCCTATCATAGGGGTAGCCTATGATTGTGCTTTCCTGCATGGTAGGGCGTTGGACTAGACAGCCCATGTGGTCTCCTCCAACTCTATGATTCTATGATTCTATGAGCATCCGTGGATTTTGGTATCCATCACAGGTCCTAGGACCAGGTCCCAATGAGGTTCAATGGAGTATCCTCCTTTGGAAAGTTTGAAATAGAGGTTGTCAGGAGAACTTAAACTGTGTTTTCCTGCCTGATAGAAGAGGGTTCGACTGGACGGCTTTTGTTGTGACACAGCTGGAACCACAGAGTGATAGTGTTGTGTCTCAGAATGATTCTGATAAGGATGATGGGATTCAGGTTCGTAATCAGGTTCAAAATGTCCCTGTGGTAGACAATGAGGAGCAGGGTGTAGAAGTTCAGTTTCCCACAGCAAGGAATGATGTTGTTGATAGGCCTGTGCGGTTTCGTTCGTTAATTTTGTAATTCGTTATTAATTCGTTATTTTTGGCATTTACGAAGCAATATCAAAACACATTTTCAAACCCGGAAGGGTTTAAAAATAACGAACCGGCAACCCCCATAGTTTTAACGAGCTTCCGCCCGTTTCGTAAATGGGATGGAGGCTGCTGGAGGTGGCTGGGCAAGAAGAACACGATCCAATCCCTCCCGACGGATGGCCATCCATTGCGACATTTCCCTCTTCCACAATGCCCAAGCCCCCCCTCTTGATCAGAGAAAAAAGAGGGGCATTAAACCACCACCACCACCACAACAACAACAACGACAAGAGCCAGCGTAGTGGTTTTGTGCTCACGATGAATCCGAAGGGGTGTGCGTTGGAGCCGAGCTTGCGGAGGAGCCTCTCCTGGAGGCGGGAGAGGGGCTCCTTGGGGGTCTCCTGGGCCGGAGGGAAGGCCTGCCAGGACGCCAGGAAGAGGTCCTTCCGGAAGGACAGGCCCAGCACGTCCAGGTCCTCGCGCCCGTACCGGAAGGCGCAGGTCAGCGTCACAAACACTGCGGGGAGAGCGGAAGGCAGGGGCGCCCGTCAGAAGCCAGGCCGGCACAAGGGGGGGGGGCTGCCTGGCCAAGGGGCTCCAGCAGCATCTTCTCCTGACATGTCGCCTGCATCCATGGCTAATGGCTTCCTCAGAGGCTTGTTCAGGTGCCTGATGGAAATGAGGCAAGTGGAGCGCATACCTATCTGCGGAATAATGTCCAATGTGAGCGAACATTTCGTTAACGCTTTGCGCATGCGCGGGGGGGGTCCGCCATCTTAACGAATCGATTCGTTAATATTTACGAAATTTCGTAAATACCAAAACTTTTTTGGGGGAAAATTTTGTAATTATTTTAAATATTGAAACAAAAAAACACCCCAATTACAAATCGATTTTAGAACCAATTTTTTTCTTGATCAACCAGGCCTAGTTGTTGATACTGAAACTAGCCAGGAAAATTGACTCAGAAAAGGAGGACAGTTTTGAGCCTGATAATGAGCAGGAAGGCAAGCAGGCTGGCACGAACGAACAGACTGACCTTGATGATTTGGGAACCTTAGATCGGGCTGACCATTTTGAATTCAGAGTTTGAAGGAGTGTGAGAATAGCTAACAAGAAGGAGGTTAGAGGCCAAAGAAACACCTTCATGTTTTGCAAAGAGTATTAAACAGAGTGTTTGGGAACAAACCTGTGTCAGAGCAACTTTTCGTTCAGCCAAGAAGTTTGTATTTGTTTGCCTGGATTAATTTGCAGTTCTTGTGTTAATGGTCTCAGGACTTTTGTCATGTTCTCGTGGGATTTTGCTTTGCTGGTGCCTTCTTGAATCATGCTTCAAAGTGCCTTTGGTATTAATCTTTTGGAACATTACTTTTGCTTTTAAGAACTTTTTATCTTTTACTTTTCAATAAACTATAAGGACTACAGGCTGTGTGGAGTTTGATGTTTTCAGCAAGGTGAAGCTATTCTGAGGTGCGACAGCCTTTGGGGTCCCAATGCTATGGTTTTATGCCTGAAGTTATTAGAGGGAAGGGTTAAAGGAAGGACCCCCATCCCAATCCTCTCCGATATTCTTCTGGAGGGGCTTCCTTACCTTCTGGCTTCCCTTTGTTCCAGGTGTCTCCTCCGAGTTCTTTGTCAAGACCCGCAACGCTGGCTCCGGGGCCCTCTCCGTCACCATTGATGGTCCCTCCAAGGTGCAGATGGACTGCCAGGAGTGTCCCGAGGGCCACAAGGTCACCTACATGCCCATGGCGCCTGGAAGCTACCTCATCTCCATCAAATATGGGGGACCCCAGCACATCGTGGGCAGCCCCTTCAAGGCCAAGGTCACAGGTAAAGGGAACGGAGGGAACGGAGCATGGGTCCTGCTCTGAGTTGAAGAGAACCAGGATGCCGAGAGGCATCATAGTGAAATTGGCTTCTTCGAGAGTGGACAGGCACTCTGGCTATGCTTGGAGGCACTCTTCTTCACCATCACTCTACAGTTAAAACTCGTGCGCCAGCTGCGCCCGTACCTCGTGAAATCTGATCTGGCCATGGTGGTCCATGCCCTAGTCACCTCTAGGTTGGATTACTGCAATGCGCGCTATGTAGGTTTGCCCTTGAAGACCGCCCGGAAACTACAGTTGGTCCAGAGATCTGCAGCCAGACTACTCACAGGATCTGGTTACAGAGAGCGGTCGACCCTCCTGTTTAAATAGCTCCACTGGCTTCCAATAAGTTTCCGGTCCCAATTCAAGGTGCAGTTCATCACCTATAAAGCCCTAAACCAGGGGTCCTCAAACTTTTTAAACCGGGGGCCAGTTCACTGTCCCTCAGACCGTTGGAGGGCCGGACTATAGTTTTTTTAAAAAAAAAAAATCAATAAAAATATCCCTCTGCACATTGCAGATATCTTATTTTGCTGTGTGGAAGGGCCCTTAGAGGGAGGGGGGTTCTTTCTCGCCCTCTTTAGGCAGTAATTCCAGGAGCAGAGAATTGGAAATCTTCCTATTTCTAGTCTGAACAAAATCTGGCTACCAGTATTTAAAAAAACTCTAAAATTATAACTGTAAATAAAGAACAACCCTCAAACAACCCTCAAACTCCAGACAAGAAACAATCAGGGCCAGCTAATCACCTCTCAACAAAGGATTCTCCCTAAAAACTGTCAGGCTATGAAATGGTAATCAAGGTGGCCAATTGAAACATTCATACCTACCTCCAACAGACAAGAGTTCTTTCTCCCACCCTGGATCCTTCCACAATTTTCCTAGTTAAAGGTTTTCCTCTGACACGAAGTCCAGTCGTGTCTGACTCTGGGGTGTGGTGCTCATCTGCATTTCTAAGTCGAAGAGCCGGCGTTGTCCATAGACACCTCCAAGGTCATGTGGCCGGCATGACTGCATGGAGCGTCGGGGCAGCCGCCCTTGGCTGGCTCACGCTGCCCATTGGGCCTGACGGATAACATGAGCCAGCCAAGGGAGGGGCACTGTGTGTGTGTGTGTGGGGGGGGGGCGCTCCTTCTCCGCGGGCCAGACAAGTGCTCTTGGTGGGCCAGAAGTGGCCCGCGGGCCGTAGTTTGAGGACCCCTGCCCTAAACGGTTCGGGACCTGCTTATCTTCGCGATCGCATCTTCCGCTATCAATCAGTGCGTACCTTGAGATCTTCTGGGAATGCACTGCTCTCTCTCCCCCCGCCGTCACATGCACGGTTGATGGGGATGAGGGAGAGAGCCTTCTCGGTGGTGGCCCCCCGGCTCTGGAACTCCCTTCCTAGGGAGATCAGACAGGCTCCCACCTTGTCCTCCTTTCATAGTCAACTAAAAACCTGGATGTTCCGGTGCACTTTTGACTAAGCAGCACTTTACACCGGCCCGCAGTTTACACAGTCATACATCCTACCTCAACATGCGTTATGACAGTATTTCCTGCCCAGTTTACTGACTTTCCTGTGCTCCTAAAAAAATGTATTGCACTCATTGAATCTGTACTTCAGCTATGTTTCTTTCAGCTGTATTGTTTTTAATATTGTTTTCAATTGTGCTGTTATTTGTTTTTATCTGATGTTTTAATTGGTTAAGTGTTTTACATGTGTGTTTTAATTGTAATTTTGGGCGTGTCCCTTGTAAACTGCCCCGAGTCCCCTAAGGGACATGGTTGGCGGGGTATAAAAAATATTATTATTATTATTATTATTATTATTATTATTATTATTACCCCAAGAACCAGTTAGCTCCAGGGGTCCAGACGACAATTTTCCAGTCTCGAAATCCACCAAAGCAAATACCAGAAATTATCCACCATCCCTATTACATATATGCATTGAAGCGTATACGTAATATCTACTATATAGTCACAATACTGAGTATTTTAACTGGATGGCTGATTTTAGTACAGAATACAGGAGGCATGGTGGATATACACAGAAGCCTTATGTGGCCATACATAGCCATGGCATTATGATCCCAAGGAACATGGAAGAACCTAAAGATAGGAGATCAATGAGTGACCCTTCACGTTCTTCTATTCTTCTCCGCAGGGCCCCGCCTCTCTGGGGGGCACAGTCTCCATGAGACGTCAACGGTGCTGGTGGAGACCGTCACCAAAGCCTCCTCCTCGGTGGGTGGGAGCTACAGCGCCCTGCCCAAGTTCTCCTCCGATGCCAGCAAAGTGGTGGCCCGGGGACCTGGGCTGACCAAGGCCTTCGTGGGCCAGAAGAACACCTTCACCGTGGACTGCAGCAAGGCTGGTGAGCATCACAAAAGGAACAAGAATGTGCAGGATTTGTGGAGCAGGGAGAGAGTTCTAGGCTGATTTCTTCCAGGAAAAACTACTGCAGAGTTGGAGAACCTCCAGCCCAGGAGTTGCATTTTGGAGATCTCAACTGGATCTCAGGGTTCCATACAGAGACCACCATGAAAGTGAAATACCATGAATGAAGAAATTTTTTTTTTAATCTGAGAGAACATTTCTCTAGGAATTTCTTGGTCTTCTAGTATAACAGTGCAAGCTGGCTGTAGAATCACTTTGGAGAAACTACAAATTCCTAAGTATGCTTCCTGTCTAGAAATATCTAGGTCCTTCAACATGATTGGAGTCATACTGGAGGGCCTAGATTCCTACAAAGCTTCCCCAGTCCCAGATCCTAGATCATCCAGCATGACTGGAGGAAATTGGGCATAGAATTATACTGGAGGACCTAGAGATCATCCATTTGCAAAAGTCAAAATCTTTAACATAGAATCATAGAATCCAAGAGTTGGAAGAGACCTCCTGGGCCATCCAGTCCAACCCCATTCTACTAAGAAGCAGGAATATTGCATTCAAATCACCCCTGACAGATGGCCATCCAGCCTCTGTTTAAAAGCTTCCAAAGAAGGAGCCTCCACCACACTCCGGGCAGAGAGTTCCACTGCTGAACGGCTCTCACAGTCAGGAAGTTCCTCCTCATGTTCAGATGGAATCTCCTCTCTTGTAGTTTGAAGCCATTGTTCCGTGTCCTAGTCTCCAGGAACAGCAGAAAACAAGCTTGCTCCTCCCTCCCTGTGACGTCCCCTCACATATTTGTACATGGCTATCATGTCTCTTCTCAACCTTCTCTTCTGCAGGCTAAACATGCCCAGCTCTTTAAGCCACTCCTCTTAGGGCTTGTTCTCCAGACTTGATCATTTTAATCGCCCTCCTCTGGACACATTCCAGTTTGTCAATATCTCTCTTGAATTGTGGTGCCCAGAATTGGACACAATATTCCAGGTGTGGTCTAACCAAGGCAGAATAGAGCTTGGGGAGCACGACTTCCCTAGATCTAGACACTATGCTCCTCTTGATGCAGGCCAAAATCCCATTGGCTTTTTTTGTCACCACATCGCATTCCTGGCTCATGTTTAACTTGTTGTCCACGAGGACTCCAAGATCTTTTTCACACGTACTGCTCTCGAGCCAGGCCTCATCGTCGCCCATTCTGTATCTTTGCCTTTTTCTGCCTAAGTGGAGTCTCTTGCATTTGTCCCTGTTGAACTTCATTTTGTTAGTTTTGGCCCTTCATCTCTCTAATCTGTCAAGATGGTTTTGAATTCTTCTCCTGTCCTCTAGAGTATTGGCTATCCCTCCCAATTTGGTGTCATCTGGAAGGAGGATTGTTGAGTTGGCCTGACCAGAGAACCCTGGAGTAACATGGATCTTTGCATGTTGTTCTGTGCAGAAAACAACTTTGCATGTTGTTCTGTGCAGAAAACAGCATTTTTTCATACAGAAAACTGCACCTTGATTGCTGTTGCATTAATGTAAGAACGGTGTGTTCTTTCATTAGGATCCCTAGCTTGGTTCTCCAAGATTGCAAGCAGACTAGTTGTACTTGCACTTTATAGTGATGGGTTTTCTTTGCAGAAAACAGCACTTTCTGTGCATGCATTTTCCATCAGAAAGTAGTGTTTATTTGCCATCTTGATGGCCATCTTGATGACCATTGTCTCTTTCACCGGGGACATCATTTTCCCAAACGCAACCCGAGTCAATATCTTTCACCCCTCTTTTTGCAGGCACCAACATGCTGATGGTGGGCGTCCACGGCCCCAAGACGCCTTGCGAGGAGGTCTACGTCAAGCACATGGGCAACCGGGTCTACAACGTCACCTACACCGTTAAGGAGAAGGGGGACTACGTCCTCATCGTTAAGTGGGGGGACGAAGGTGTACCTGGCAGCCCCTACCAAGTCAACGTGCCCTAAAAGGGGTCTGGCCCGGTGCCATTTCCCCCACGGCCCCTGCCCCACATTTCCATGCCAAGGACCAGCATGGCCGGACATCTCGGAGGTCCCCTTGGGGCGGGGCCGACACCACGACGGACCTTGGGACAATATTGGGTTGCCTGTTTGGACTTTGCCTTTTGACTCTTTGGCCCGGCGGAGGGCTTGGGGTGGGGCGGGGAGGGCAAGGTGTGCACCGTTTTAGCGGGAAAATGCAAGTGGGCAGGTGACTGATCATGGCGGCAGAGTCAAAGAATGATGTCACTAGGAGAAGGAGTGAGGTCAGAGTTTTGTCAAAGTGGGGAGTCGTCACTGTGGGATGCCCCATGGCAATGGAATTGTGGAAGACCAGGCAATGGGACCTATCTACACCATTCTTGGCCACCTCGGGATCGGGTCATTGATGTAGTTGGACAATTTGGAAGTGAGAAGATGATTTGGAGCTCAAAGCAAATTGATGTATGGATAGCAGGGATGTGGAGAGACTTTCCAAGGACCAGGTTGGCAATTCAACAAAAGGGTCAGCTCTGCTCCCATTTTGTGAGATGGGTTGGATGGATGTGGAAGCATGTGGAGAACAAAACTATATTGTGAAACATCACGTTAATACTTATTTGCACTGTTCTTGGCCACCTTGAAGTTGGGTCCTCAGTATGTTTGGACAATTTGGAAGTTGTTGTTGTTCATTCGTTCAGTCGTTTCCGACTCTTCGTGACTTCATGGACCAGTCCACGCCAGAGCTCCCTGTCGGTCGTCACCACCCCCAGCTCCTTCAAGGTCAATCCAGTCACTTCAAGGACTGGATTGACCTTGAACTTCAATTTGGAAGTGGAAGATGATTTGGAGCACGAAGCAACCAAAGTGTGGTGAGAAGGGGTGTGGAGAGACTTCTGCAAGGACTGGGTAGAGAGGTCAGTTGTGCCCCTATCTGCTGAGAGCCATCCAGCCCAAAACCCCTATTTTGCCATGCAGGAAAACACAATCAAAGCATTCCCCACAGATGGCCATCCAGCCTCTGCTTAAAAACCTCCAGAGAGAGAATAGTTCTGACTTGTCAGAAAGTTCTTCCCAATGTTTAGGCGAAATCTCTCTTCCTGCAATCTGAATCCATTGCTCCATTGTCTTCTAGTCACTAGGACTGGATGCAGAATCATGCAAGGATTGAGCAAAACTGCTATTTAGAGCTCAAGTCTTCCAGAGGACAACAATTGCGTCCACTGGCCTTAAATAACCAGGATGTTCTTCATCTCTGTTGACTTCCACAATTGAATTCTATTGACTTCCATAAGAATCTAGGCCAACAGGAATTGGATTGGAAAGTTCAGTGAGAGATGCCACCAACTTGCCCCTTCCTTCTGCCCCATCTCACAAACTGGTCAATTGCTGCCGTGACAGAGGGATACTTGAACCAAAGAGATTCATCATTTGCCTGGTTTGGGGATATTTTTTAAGAAAAGGAAGCATTTGAAGAAAGGGAAAGAATTTAATAAAAAAATATATTGGGGAAAGGGAGTCAGGCCCTTTGGCCTGTGTGTCGGTCAAGGATGTTTCCAGCCAAGTTCTTCTCTTGGGGTTGGTTTGGGTTTGGGACTTTTTTATCCATGTGTTTGGGGTTGCGTGTGTTATCCATGTGTTTGGGGTTGGAGCACCCAGCCGAACCTGCCCACAAGCAATAAAGATGACTTGCTTTTAAAAAATGGCATTGTGCCCTGTCTTTTGTTCATAGAATCTGTTGTGGTAGCAAGGAGAAGCTGCTGAAAGTGCAGGAGATGGAGGACTGTAGCTTCTAGTGGTCACTCTAGTTTAATTCAGTCATTGCTAAGGATGACCCTTCAGGCAATGGGACCGATCTCTGAGGCTGAATCTATACTGCCATATCATCCAGATTACTATTTCTAGATTTAAGTCGTTGACGTGATGGCTGATACCCAAACAGGGGATGAGCTGGAGATGTCTCTGCCTTGGTCCTTTCACTATCAGCTTTCGTATGATATTGTTTCTAGCGCCCACTTTTTGCTTGATGTTCACGCAGTGCTTCTTGTAGGTCAGAGCACGGTCCAGAGTGACTCCCAGGTATTTGGGTGCGCTGCAATGCTCCAGTGGGATTCCTTCCCAGGTAATAATCCTCAGAGCTCGGGATGCTTCTCTGTTCTTGAAATGAAAGGCACGTCTGTGTTTTGGATGGGTTGTGGATCAGCTGGTTTTCCCTGTAATAGGCAGTAAGAGCACCTAGAGCTTCGGAAAGCTTCTGCTCTATCATCTCAAAGCTCCCTGCTTGAGTGGTAATGGCACGATCATCAGCATAGATGAAGCTCTCTGTCCCTTCTGGCAGTGGCTGGTCATTTGTGTAGATGTTGAGCATGGATGGAGCAAGCACGCTCCCCAGAGGCAGGCCGTTCTTCTGTTTCCGCCATCTGCTTCTCTGGCCCTGGAACTCAACAAAAAAGCTCCTGTTTTGTAGCAGGTTTCCTATGAGGCGGGTGAGGTGGTCGTCCTTTGTGATATTATACATTTTTCTTAGGAGGAGGCGATGGTTCACAGTATCATAGGCTGCTGACATTAAGTTAAGTTAAGTACAAATTATTATCAGTTACTTAACTTAATTGTATTAAGTTAAGTAACTGATAATAATTTGTACTTAATGTCAAAATTAAATGGTTGATTGACTAAAGTAAATAGGCATGTACACATCAAAAATATTGTAACCTGATTATATTTGCCACGATTTGCTTTTCTGTTATGTACCATAACAAAAATAAACAGTTTTAATTAAAAAGACATTAAAAATCTCCGTAACGCTTGGAGCTTCCGGACCCAGCTATCATGTTGTTCTTGTTCATTCTTTTAAGTCACTTCCAACTCTTCGTGACCTCATGGACCAGCCCCCGCCAGAGCTTCCAGTCGGCCGTCACCACCCCCAGCTCCTTCAAGGTCAATCCGGTCACTTCAAGGATGCCATCCCTTCACCTTGCCCTTGGTCGGCCCCTCTTCCTTTTTCCTTCCATTTCCCCCAGCATCATTGTCTTCTCTAAGCTTTCCTTTCTTCTCATGATGTGGCCAAAGGACTTCATCTTTGCCTCTAATATCTTTCCCTTCAATGAGCAGTTGGGCTTTAGAGTGGAGTGGTTGGATCTTCTCGCGGTCCAAGGCACTTTCAGAACTTTCCCAGCTATCATACCATCACCTAAAAGGGGCCTGGGGCATCCTGCAGAACATTTTGCAATGAATCTCTCATAGAGTCTCAACCAATTCAATATAGTTTGTGCTACAAAAACGAATACATGGAGCGAGAGTTGCCAGATGTTCAAGCTGGGTTTAGAAAAGGTAGAGGAACGAGAGACCAAATTGCCAATATCCGCTGGATAATGGAGAAAGGCAGGGAGCTTCAGAAAAACATCTACTTCTGCTTCATTGACTATTCTAAAGCCTTTGACTGTGTGGATCATAATAAATTGTGGCAAGTTCTTAGTGGGATGGGCATCCCAAGGCACCTTCCCTCTCTCCTGAGGAATCTGTACAAGGACCAAGTAGCAACAGTCAGAACTGACCACGGAACAACAGACTGGTTCAAGATTGGGAAAGGCGTACGGCAAGGCTGCATCCTCTCACCCAACCTTTTTAACTTGTATGCAGAACACATCATGCGATGTGCGGGGCTCGAGGAATTCAAAGCTGGGGTGAAAATTGCTGGAAGAAACATTAACAACCTCAGATATGCAGATGACACCACTCTGATGGCCGAAAGCGAGGAGGAGCTGAGGAGCCTTCTAATCAAGGTGAAAGAAGAAAGCGCAAAAGCTGGGTTGCAGCTAAACATAAAAAAAACCAAGATTATGGCAACAAGAATGATTGACAACTGGAAATAGAGGGAGAAAATGTGGAGGCCGTGACAGACTTTGTATTTCTAGGTGCAAAGATTACTGCAGATGCAGACTGTGGCCAGGAAATCAGAAGACGCTTCCTTCTTGGGAGGAGAGCAATGTCCAATCTCGATAAAATAGTAAAGAGTAGAGACATCACACTGGCAACAAAGATCCGCCTAGTCAAAGCCATGGTATTCCCTGTAGTCACCTACGGATGTGAGAGCTGGACCTTCGGGAAGGCTGAGCGAAGGAAGATCGATGCTTTTGAGCTGTGGTGTTGGAGGAAAGTGCTGAGAGTGCCTTGGACTGTGAGAAGATCCAACCAGTCCATCCTCCAGGAAATAAAGCCCGACTGCTCATTGGAGGGAAAGATACTAGAGACAAAGTTGAAGTACTTTGGCCACATCATGAGGAGACAGGAAAGCCTAGAGAAGACAATTATGCTGGGGAAAGGGAAGGCAAAAGGAAGAGGGGCCGACCAAGGGCAAGATGGATGGATGGCATCTTTGAAGTGACTGGACTGACCTTGAGGGAGCTGGGGGTGGTAACGGCCGACAGGGAGCTCTGGCGTGGGCTGGTCCATGAGGTCACGAAGAGTCGGAGACGACTGAACGAATGAACAACAACAACAAAAACGAAGTTTCTGGAGTAGAACAACAACTTTCAAAGTAAGGACCACACAATTGAACGGGAAATAACACTTTCAAACTAGGAACAGAATTGTTTTGCAATTTTGTTAGATAGTGTAGATAGTGTAATCTGGATTTATTTATTTGTAGTGTGTGTCAGGGCAACCAGATGTTAGATTAGATCAGATAATCTTGTTTACAAATCAGATGATCTGGATCTTATATGGCAGTGTAGAAGAGGCCTGAGCCAGGTGAGGCAAACAAGGCCAGCGAGAAGTTATACAAGGAGCGTGCAGAGCTCTCCAGAGAGATGTCCATCCAGCGTCTGTTTAAAAGCCTCCAAAGAGGCAGAGAGTTCCCCTGGACAGGCCAGGAAGTTTTTCCTCATGCTCAACATCCGTGTGTACCTCTACTAGTTTCTATCTCTGTGGACAGCTGCAGCAGCAAACCTGGACGCATGCGCAGAGAGCCATGAGGCGACTGCGCATGCACCTCCGTGCAGTATAACAGCTCCCTACGGCGTCCGCTCGGGGTCATTCTTATCCCTCGCGCGTTTCCTGAGGCGCCATGGCCGGCCGGGGGAAGCTCATCGCCGTGCTGGGAGACGAGGACACGGTGACCGGCTTCCTGCTGGGAGGCGTCGGGGAGCTCGATAAGCACCGCCGCCCGAACTTCTTGGTGGTGGAGAAGGAGACCGCCCTGGCCGAAATCGAGGAGGCCTTCCGGTAAGTGGAAATGGGGACGCCGGGGGGGGGGGGGGAGAACTAGGTGGAACAGCCGGTTGCCGTGGAAACGCAGGGCAACCGGCTGAACCATTTGGACTGAACCATTTGGACTGAACCACTCTCCCTGGAAAGACAGGGGAAATGCCTGGGTTTGGACTGAACCAATTAATGGAGGGGAAGGAAAAAGCGGGGAGAGAAAAAGCGGGGAGAGAAAAAGCGGGGATTAAATAATAATTATAATTATGACAATAATATAGTAAATATAAAATAAATATAGTAAATATAAATAAATAAGTATATAATATAATATTTATAATATTGTAATGTAATGCAATATAATACTACTAATAATAATATGATATTATAATTATATATTTATATTACATGTAATATTACTAATAATATTACAGTATAATTGATATAGTGCAATATAGCAATATTTAAAACTGATATTGTACTATGTTAATAATATATTGGGTTGTTGTAGGTTTTTCCGGGCATGTTCTAGAGGCATTTCTCCTGACGTTTCGCCTGCATCTATGGCAAGCATCCTCAGAGGTAGTGAGGTCTGTTGGAACTAGGAAAAAGGGTTTATATATCTGTGGAATGACCAGCGTGGGGCAGATAGCTCTTCTCTGCTAGAGCTAGGTGTGAATGTTTCAACTGGCCACCTTCATTAGCATTTGAAGGCCTGGCTGAGCCTGGGAAAATCTCTTGTTGAGAGGTGTTAAGATGTGCCTGGTTGTTTCTTCTTGCTGGTCTGACCTTGAAGGAGCTGGGGGTGGTGACGACCGACGGAGCTCTGGCGTGGGCTGGTCCAGGAGGTCACGAAGAGTCGGAGACAACTGAACAAATGAACAAAAAATAGTAAATATAAATAAATAAGTAATAATGATACAAAGGTGGAAATATTTGGCAGCTCCAGGTGGAACAAACCATTGCAACGTTTTTTTTTGGGGGGGGGGTCACAAGAGTAATCTATATAAATAAAAATATAATGTCCGTTTGTGGGATTAACATAACTCAAAAGCCACTGGACGAATTGACACCAAATTTGGACTCAAGACACCTCTCAGGCCAACGAGTGACCATCACTCATAAAAAAAACACTGAAAAGCACAGCAGAAGAGACTTAAAAAGCCCAAAAATAAAAAATACAATACAACAGTCAGGAAGTTCAAGCTATTAAACAGAGGCTGGATGGCCATCTGTCAGGGGTGATTTGAATGCAATATTCCTGCTTCTTGGCAGAATGGGGTTGGACTGGATGGCCCATGAGGTCTCTTCCAAATCTAGGATTCTATGATTCTATAACACAAGTGCAAAACTACATATAGGTTTGCATACACACATATCAAAGAATCATAGAATCAAAGAGTTGGAAGAGACCTCCTGGGCCATTCAATCCAACCCTATTCCGCCAAGAAGCAGGAATATTGCATTCAAAGCACCCCTGACAGATGGCCATCCAGCCTCTGTTTAAAAGCTGCCAAAGAAGGAGCCTCCACCACACTCCGGGGCAGAGAGTTCCACTGCTGAACGGCTCTCACAGTCAGGAAGTTCTTCCTCATGTTCAGATGGAATCTCCTCTCTTGTAGTTTGAAGCCATTCTTCCATTGCGTCCTAGTCTCCAGGGAAGCAGAAAACAAGCTTGCTCCCTCCTCCTCCCTGTGGCTTCTTCTCACATATTTATACATGGCTATCATGTCTCCTCTCAGCCTTCTCTTCTTCAGGCTAAACATGCCCAGCTCCTTAAGCCGCTCCTCATAGGGCTTGTTCTCCAGACCCTTGATCATTTTAGTCGCCCTCCTCTGGACACATTCCAGCTTGTCAATATCTCTCTTGAATTGTGGTGCCCAGAATTGGACACAATATTCCAGGTGTGGTCTAACCAAAGCGGAATAAAGCATGGGGAGCAGGACTTCCCTAGATCTAGACACTATGCTCCTATTGATGCAGGCCAAAATCCCATTGGCTTTTTTTTGCCGCCAAACCATTGTAACAAACCATTGCAACTTTTTTGGGAGGGGGGGGTCACAAGAGTAATCTATATAAATAAAAATCTAATGTTCGTTTGTGGGATTAACATAACTCAAAAGCCACTGGACGAATTGACACCAAATATGGACACAAGACACCTCTCAGGCCAACGAGTGACCATCACTCATAAAAAACACTGAAAAGCACAGCAGAAGAGACTTAAAAATTTAAAAAAAATACAATACAACACATGTGCAAAACCACATATATGTATGCATACACACATATACACAAATATATACACACACAAAGCACATAGACTGGGCCACAGCAACACGTGGCAGGGGATGGGTAGGTAAAGGTAGTCCCCTGACATTAAGTCCAGTCATGTCTGACTCTGGGGTGTGGTGCTCATCTCCATTTCTAAGCCGAAGAGCCAGCGTTGTCCGTAGACACCTCCAAGGTAATGTGGACGGCATGACTACATGGAGCGTCGTTACCTTGCCGCCGGAGCGGTACCTATTGATCTACTCACATTTGCATGTTTTCGAACTGCTAGGTTGGCAGAAGCTAGGGCTGCCAGAGGAAGCTCATGCCGCTCCCCGGAATCGAACCTGCGACCTTTCGATCAACAAGCTCAGCAGCTCAGTGCTTTAACCCACTGCGCCACCGGATGGCTAGCTATACATAAATAATAATAAATAAAAATAAATAGCAATAAATAAGATTATGTAATAATAATAATGATGCCTATCTACAATATGGGATCCTGGGAGTTGTTTGGCATGGCGCCAGCACTGTCTGTATTTGGATCCTTGTTAAACTAGACCTCCCAGGGGTTGTATGCTTTCCAAGGCTGTGGAAAGGCTGGATTTGGTTCCTTGGAACTGCCAGAATCTCCCCATTCCACCTTCTGGGGATTATGGGAGTTGGAGTCCAAAGAGGTAACTTCCCTCCACCCAATGAGAGAATATTACTACAGTCTTTCCAGTGGAGCAGCCATTTACCGCCTTCTTTGGACTCCAACTCCCAGAATCCACCAATTTTTTGGGGGGAATTATAGCAGTTGGAGTCCAAAGGGAAGGCCATAGTGAGATTGAGCTTTTGGAGGGACTCCAACTCCCAGAATCCCTCTGAAAAGATGGAAAAATGGCTCCAGGAAGAACATTGAAAGCAAAGGTCTCACCTTGTAAAGAATTTTGGACTATGTGTTGTTGAAGGCTTTCATGGCCGGAATCACTGGGTTGTTGTAGGTTTTTTCGGGCTATATGACCATGGTCTAGAGGCATTCTCTCCTGACGTTTTGCCTACATCTATGTCAAGCATCCTCAGAGGTAGTGAGGTCTGTTGGAACTAGGAAAATGGGTTTATATATCTGTGGACTGACCAGGGTGAGACAAAGGACTCTTGTCTGCTGGAGCTAGGTGTGAATGTTTCAACTGACCTTGGAATAAGGGATGTGCAACCTATATTTGCTTCCCTTGCGTTGCAGGGAAAAACAAACCCTTACCTATATTACTATTATGTTTATTTATACCCGCTTTATCTCTCCTGAAGGAGACTCAAAGCGGCTTACCATTAAAAGGAGGATCACATAATTTAATATGGACAAATATGCAAACATTAAAACAGAATTAAAATTCACATTTAAAATTCATTAAAATATATTGAAAACTAAAAATCATATATATCTGAGAGTGACTTGGGTGGATGATAGTTAATTCCCTCCCAGCAGATCCCGGAGATGTCTTTCCTCTTTTAAATTAATCACACTTCATGCCTCAAGGTCAAAAGTTTCCATTTCTGTTTTTGGGTAGAATGAGAAAGACTTCCTCTATTTTTCTGCTGGGAAAATCTCTGACTCCAGAAGGGTCAGCTGATGGGAGGAGTTGTTTCTCTTGTGATAAACGAATAAATACATTTGGCTACAGCCGTTGCTTTGCAGAACTGTTTCCCATGGAACGTTTTTAAAATGTCGAGAGCCACTTTGCATCTAGATCAGTGGTTCCCAACCTTTTTTTGACCAGGGACCACTCTCCAAACTTAGTACCAAAAGGTTAAGAATCCAGTTTTTGGTCAACTTTAGATTCAGTTTCATTATTTGGGGCACGGATTCAGAAAATTGCATTGAACAGACCAAATAATAATAACAACTACTACTTTATTTCTGTATCCCGCCACCATCTTCCCAAAGGGACTCAGAACGGCTTACATGGGGATAAGCCCAGTCAAACATAGATTAAGACATAAAAACATAACACAATAAAATCTGTAAAAGTAACATCATAAACAACAAAAGATAACATCAACAACAGCCAATAGCCTGACAAAGTAATCGAACACTAACCTTGTGTTGACAGGGGCTTGTTGTTATAATTTTATGTGACTTGTTTTATACTTTTGTACCATTTTTACTGGTTGTATGTTATATGTGCATCCTGGAGTGCTTTGTAAGCTGCCCTGAGTCCCTTAGGGGAGATGGTGGTTGGGATACAAATAAAGTATCATCATCATCATCATCATCATGCTGTTTTCCTTGTCTAATGCTGGACCTACACTTCTACATAATGCAGTGTGAAACTGCATTAAATAGTCAGGTGAAGACCCATATAGTGCAGTTCCAGTGTATATGATACCTAAAAAAACATATAAAATTTGTGGTGTCACCATACTTGTAGGTACAGGTATACAAATAGAATTGAAAACAGTTTTTTTTTGTTTGAATATATTGATCGAGAAGACTCATTCCCACAACACTAAAGTGGATTGTGTCTTATTGTGTTAAATGCAACTCAAAGAAAGCAGAACCACTGGGAAGGGATTATAAGGAGTCTGGAAGTTGTGGTGGAAAAAAATAAAAATAAAAACTGCCCTCCTTATCCTTTGAAGCAGATAATACTCCTTCCTTTGGTATTGCTGGGTCTTGCTCCCTTTCTTTAGAGCAGGGGTCCTCAAACTAAGGGGCCAGATGCGGCCCTCCAAGGTCATTTACCTGGCCCTCGCTCATACAATCATAGAATCAAAGAGTTGGAAGAGACCTCATGGGCCATCCAGTCCAACCCCATTCTGCCAAGAAGCAGGAATATTGCATTCAAAGCACCCCTGACAGATGGCCATCCAGCCTCTGTTTAAAAGCTTCCAAAGAAGGAGCCTCCACTTAAGTCTGAAACAACTTGAAGGCACACAACAACAATCCTATCTCATCAGCCAAAAGCCGGCCCACACATCCCATTGAAATACTAATAAGTTTATATTTGTTAAAATTGTTCTTCATTTTAATTATTGTATTGTTTTTAAGTGTTTTTTTTTGCACTACAAATAAGATCTGTGCAGTGTGCATAGGAATTCATTCATGCTTTTTTCAAATTATAATCCAGCCCTCCAACAGTTTGAGGGACTGTGACCTGGCTCTCTGTTTAAAAAGTTTGTGGACCTATTCTTTAGAGTCTGTGCAATAAACTAGAGATTTGCTAAGGCATGGAGGTGGGGAATTCAAGGCTGTTATTTTGCATCAAGACCTTCTTTGTCCTTGTGTTTGAAGGAATTTGCAGTTTCCTCTCTTGAAAGAACCAGATCAGACAAAGGTTTGGCTCTCATTCTGTTTACACACAAACAACCGTCTTCCAAAAGGCCTCTGATGCCAGTTTTAACTGACTTCTGCCAGGTCTCTCCTTTGCCTGACCTTAGGAAGGTCCTTGAAGGTAGAATTGGAAGAAACCCAAAGTTCCATGCAGTCCAACCTTGTTCTGACATTTGGTTAGACAACACCTGGAATATTGTGTCCAATTCCGGGCACCACAATGGAAGAGGGCTATTCAAAAGCTGGAATGTGTCCAGAGAAAGAGGGCGACTCAAATGATCAAGGGTCTGGAGAACAAGCCCTATGAGGAGCAGCTTAAGGAGCTGGGCATGTTTAGCCTGAAGAAGAGAAGGCTGAGAGGAGACATGATAGCCATGTATAAAATGTGAGAGGAAGCCACAGGGAGGAGGGAGCAAGTTTGATTTCTGCTTCCCTGGAGACTAGGACGCAATGGAACAATGGCTTCAAACTACAAGAGAGGAGATTCCATCTGAACATGAGGAAGAACTTCCTGACTGTGAGAGCCGTTCAGCAGTGGAACTCTCTGCCCTGGAGTGTGGTGGAGGCTCCTTCTTTGGAAGATTTGAAACAGAGGCTGGATGGCCATCTGTCAAGGGTGATTTGAATGCAATATTCCTGCTTCTTGGCAGAATGGGGTTGGACTGGATGGCCCAGGAGGTCTCTTCCAACTCTGATTCTATGATTCTATGACTGTCTTGAGACTCGTAAAGAACCAAAAACTGAATAGAAAACTGCTGATGATGACTTTCTCCCATTGTGCTATAGTGAGTATCCTAACCTGCACGTGGTTTGGTAACTGCACCACGGCACATAGGAAGGTGCTCCATAGGGTCACCACTTTCTCACAAAGAATCATTGCTTGCCCTCTTTCTCTCTTCTGTGAAAGAACGTTATAGGCCTCACAGTCTCACCTGGCATTTAAAAAAATTATTGCCATCTGGCAGATTATTTATTTATCGTGTCAGTATCAGTATCAACCAGACAATTGTATTACATTTTTAACAAACAGACAAAACAGCATTTGCAAACTTGGTAGTTGATTAAATGTCCTTTGACCAGTGTCTGGCCACTTGGAGTGCCTCTGGTGTTGCCGCAAGGAGGTCCTCCATGGTGCATGTGGCTGGGCTCAGGGTGCATTGCAGCAGGTGGTCAGTGGTTTGCTCTTCTCCACACTCGCATGTCGAGGATTCCACCCTGTAGCCCCATTTCTGAAGGTTGGCTCTGCATCTCGTGGTGCCAGAGCGCAGTCTGTTCAGCGCCTTCCAAGTCGCCCAGTCTTCTGAGTGCCCAGGGGGGAGTCTCTCATCTGGTATCAGCCATTGGTTGAGGTTCTGGGTTTGAGCCTGCCACTTTTGGACTCTCGCTTGCTGAGGTGTTCCAGCGAGTGTCTCTGTAGATCTCAGAAAACTATTTCTTGATTTAAGTCGTTGACGTGCTGGCTGATACCCAAACAGAGGATGAGCTGGAGATGTCACTGCCTTGGTCCTTTCACTATTTGCTTCTACTTCCCAGTGGATGTCAGGTGGTGCAATGCCGGCTAAACAGTGTAATTTCTCCAGTGGTGTAGGGCGCAGACACCCTGTGATAATGCGGCATGTCTCATTAAGAGCCACATCCACTGTTTTAGTGTGGTGAGATGTGTTCCACACTGGGCATGCGTACTCAACAGCAGAGTAGCACAGTGCAAGGGCAGATGTCTTCACTGTATCTGGTTGTGATCCCCAGGTTGTGCCAGTCAGCTTTCGTATGATATTGTTTCTAGCACCCACTTTTTGCTTGATGTTGAGGCAGTGCTTCTTGTAGATGATACAGGCAGATGATACAGGGTGACAAAGGCAAGGACAAATAAACAAAATTATCCTATGGCTGTGACTACGTTAACTCCGTGGTTTCGCATAGATGTGGCATTGGGGACTGTGCAGTGGTGGTGGGAGTGTTTCATGGTGTATGCTGGGGAAAGCATTTAATTTTGTTGTGCAGTTGCACAATCACAGTAAAGCTGGGTTGTTGTAGGTTTTTCGGGCTATATGGCCATGGTCTAGAGGCATTCTCTCCTGACGTTTCACTTGCATCAATGGCAAGCATCCTCAGAGGTAATGAGGATGCTTGCCATAGATGCAGGCGAAACGTCAGGAGAGAATGCCTCTAGACCATGGCCATATAGCCTGAAAAACCTACAACAACCCAGTGATTCCGGCCATGAAAGCCTTCGACAACACAGTAAAGCTATTTTATTCTTTTGTATTCAGTTGTCACCGGTGCCCTTTTGGTGTCTCTGTCTCTCTCTGCAGGGGCTTCTTGTGCCGTGACGACATCGGCATCATTCTCATCAACCAGTACATAGCGGAGATGATCCGCCACGTGATCGATGCCCACAACAAGTCCATCCCTGCGGTGCTCGAAATCCCCTCCAAGGAGCACCCCTACGACGCTTCCAAGGACTCCATCCTGCGCCGGGCCAAGGGCATGTTCACGGCGGAGGACCTGCGGTAGATGGGAAAAGTGGGGCCCATGTTTCTCGGCTGTTGCTGCTCTGTTACCCCCGTCTCATAAAAGAGCTCTGCCTTTCCTTCGGTGTATTTTCTGTCAATATTATTCTCCATGATTCAGTTTCCTCTGTAACCCAGGAGTTTGCAAGCAGAGTGGTCTATCTACATTCCTGCTGACTTTGTCTCTATTTATTGTTTACTTATGACATTGGAAGTTATAGTGGTGGAAACTGGATGCTGTTATCGCAACCTTGGGCATGTCTACACTACCAAATTTGATGCAGTTTGACACTACTTTAACTGCCATGGCTCCATGCTATAGCATCCTAGGATTTAGTTTGGCACCCTTTGGCAAAGAAGGCTAAAGGCCTTGCAAAGCTACAACTCCTGGGTTTCCATATCATTGAGCCATGGAAGTTAAAGTGGTGCCAAGCTGCATTTATTCTATGTTGGGTATTAGTGAGTCAACATGTCACTTTGTGGAATGGGGAATGGGAGATTTCAGCTTACTTTTTTTACATAATTCCTTTTATTTTGGGTATGCATACCCAACAACATATCCCACAGAGACCTGTGTTGCAAATATATAGGCATTCCACAAGGTATACAGTTATCCCTCCACATATTACATCTGTGGATAATGAAGTCTACCGAAGTTGAACCTGCAAATGTAGACTCTGTATTTCCCCTACTCCATGCAAGGTGCAATTATTGATTTATTCCCTAATTTCTGCTGGGGAAGCATGGCTGCAAGGACAGCCATTCCTTCAGGAATACTCTTGTGATGGCTCTTATTGTTACTTTCCTTGTTGTTGCTTTTCCAAGATCACAAATGCATTATGGAATAATTGTTAATGCTATTTATTTTCCTAATTTTCCTTTCAATGAACCTGTTTATTATAAAGAAAAGGATTCAATAAAGACAGATTCATTCCTTAGCAATATTTGTTTATTGAGCCCGAGTTGCAGAATGATGGGAAGGAAGCGATAGAAATGCTTCTTGGCAGAATGGAGTTGGACTGGATGTCCCAGCAGGTCTCTTCCAGCTCACTAATTCTATGATTTAAGAACTTCCTGACTGTGAGAGCTGTTCACCAGTGGAACTCTCTGCCCCGGAGTGTGGTGGAGGCTCTTCCTTTGGAGGCTTTTAAGCAGAGGCTGGATGGCCATCTGTTGGGAGTGCTTTGAACATGATTTTCCTGCTTCTTGGCAGAATGGGGTTGGACTGGATGACCCACCAGGTCTCTTCCAACTCTAGGATTCAATGATTTTAAGAACTTCCTGACTGGGAGCTGTTCAGCAGTGGAACTCTCTGCCCTGGAGTGTGGTGGAGGCTCTTCCTTTGGAGGCTTTTAAGCAGAGGCTGGATGGCCATCTGTCGGGGGTGCTTTGAATGTGATTTTCCTGCTTCTTGGCAGAATGGGGTTGGACTGGATTGCCCACGAGGTCTCTTCCAACTCTGATTCTATGATTTTAAGAACTTCCTGACTGTGATAGCTGTTCAGCAGTGGAACTCTCTGCCTCGGAGTATGGTGGAGGCTCTTTCTTTGGACCCTTTTAAGCAGAGACGGGATGGCCATCTGTCGGGGGGTGCTTTGAACTTGATTTTCCTGCTTGGCAGAATGGGGTTGGACTGGATGGCCGATGAGGTCTCTTCCAACTCTTTGATTCTATGATTCTAAGGGAAAGGAAGAAAGGGAAGCAAACGAGGAAAGGAATAGAAAGGAAAGAGAAAAGGGATGAAAGAATTGTGCTCGATAGCAGACTGGCAGCCAGTGGAGCTGGCCTAGTAGAGAGGATGTACACTCCCTGTACCTTGCTCCAGAGAGCAACCTGGCAAATTGGACTAACTGGAGCTTCTGAGCAGTCTTCAAAGGCAACCCCAAGGAGAGTGTGTGGTAGTAATCGGGAAGTAACAAGAGTGTGGACCACCATCTCTGCATTTCCTCTTCTCATGGGTCATTATGCGTTGTCTTCACCATTTATTGCTGGAAGGAGAGGACAAGTGACTGGCCTGTGACCTCATAAGAGACTCCTGAAGTTACTGTGATGTAATGGCTACTCAAATCTTGGTGGTCACCAGAAATCTTCAGAGTTTTGCTCTCCTTGCTGGCTTTGTCCCTTGGAGGAGAAGGTGCTTCTTGAATTGGTTGAACCGGATCCAGTCCATCGTCCCATCCAACCATGGCGCGCGCATTGAACATGGACTCGCTCCAGCAGAACTTCTGGAAGGAGGAGTATCAGAAGGAGATGATGGTGCGGTACAAGTGGCACCAGAAGTACGGGGCCATTGTCAAGGCCAAGCAGGCCAGCCAGCGGGAGCGGCACCAGCGAGCGGTGGACAACACCCTCCGGCTGCCGTCGGTCAAGGCTCCTACGCCCATCAAGCCCAAGTCTCCCCCTCCGCCGCCTTCGTCCCCCGCAGAGCCGGCCAGGGAGCGCGACTTGACCGGCCTGGACACCCTGATCCTGGAGGCCGAGATGAAGCCGGTGCCTCGGGAAGTGCGGGCCCTCATCTACCAGGGCATCTCCCACGAGGACGAGGGGCGCCACCGCTACCTGAAGACACGACTCCTTCTCAACCCTGAAGACAAGTACACCTTCCCGGTCACCACCAATTTCAACTACGGCTGGCAGATGGGTGAGTTGGGGGGGGGGGGGATCTTCCAACAAATGGGAAGGGAACCCCATATTAAGGGCTGACTTGTGAGCAACAGCATTGGATTAACATTCATACTCCAGTGAGTTTATCCAAGGCAGAACTGAGAGTGAAGGAAAGCTAGTGCTTGCTAGCTTACAAAATAATGAAAGATGGCACTGGCCAATACTCATCTTGGTACTTCAAATGTTAGCTCTTGTCTTGTTCATTCGTTCAGTCGTCTCTGACTCTTCGTGACCTCATGGACCAGCCCACGCCAGAGCTCCCTGTCGGCCGTCACCACCCCCAGCTCCCTTCAAGGTCAGTCCAGTCACTTCAAGGATGCCATCCATCCATCTTGCCCTTGGTCGGCCCCTCTTCCTTTTGCCTTCTACTTTCCCCAGCATCATTGTCTTCTCTAGGCTTTGCTGTCTTCTCATGATGTGGCCAAAGGACTTCAACTTTGTCTCTAGTCTCCTTCCCTCCAGTGAGCAGTCGGGCTTTATTTCCTGGAGGATGGACTGGTTGGATCTTCTCGCAGTCCAAGGCACTCTCAGAACTTTCCTCCAACACCACAGCTCAAAAGCATCTATCTTCCTTCGCTCAGCCTTCCCGAAGGTCCAGCTCTCACATCCGTAGGTGACTACAGGGAATACCATGGCTTTGACTAGGCGGATCTTTGTTGCCAGTCTGATGTCTCTACTCTTCACTATTTTATCACGACTGGACATTGCTCTCCTCCCAAGAAGTAAGCGTCTTCTGATTTCCTGGCCACAGTCTGCATCTGCAGTCATCTTTGCGCCTAGAAATACACTGCCTCCACATTCTCTCCCTCTATTTCCCAGTTGTCAATCATTCTTGTTGCCATAATCTTGGTTTTTTTGACGTTTAGCTGCAACCCGGCTTTTGCGCTTTCCTCTTTCACCTTGATTAGAAGGCTCCTCAGCTGCTCCTCGCTTTCGGCCATCAGAGTGGTGTCATCTGCATATCTGAGGTTGTGAATGTTTCTTCCAGCAATCTTAACCCCAGCTTTGCATTCATCCAGCCCCGCACATCCTCGCATGATGTGTTCTGCATACAAGTTAAAAAGGTTGGGTGAGAGGATGCAGCCTTGCTGGACGCCTTTCCCAATCTTGAACCCGTCTCCTGTTCCGTGGTCAGTTCTGACTGTGGCTCCTTGGTCCTTGTACAGATTCCTCAGGAGAGAGGGAAGGGGGCTTGGGATACCCATCCCACCAAGAGCTTGCCACAATTTATTATGATCCACACAGTCAAAGGCTTTAGAAGAGTCAATGAAGCAGAAGTAGATGTTTTTCTGAAACTCCCTGCTCAGTTTCTGGATATATTTGATTGAGGTACTGTTTCATTATTTCGGAGGAGACCAAAAGGGGGTGCTAGAGAGAGAAGAATAGTCCATTTTATGGGAGTGGAGGATAGATTAAAGGAGTTAAACCATTTCCTCCTGTTATTCCTCCACCCACGTCACCATCATGGAAACAATCCTCATTTATAACATGGGAAGAGGGGAGGGGAAATAACCAGCAAAAATGGTGGAAATGGTTTCCCCCCTAAAATGGACTATTCTTCTCTCTCTAGCACCCCCTTGTGGCCTCCGCCCATATAATGGAACATCTCCTTGATTTAAAACATGGCACCAGTTTCCCCCTGTCTGCTCCAGTTTTTACAATACAGTACATCTACCAGTTGCCATTTATTCACCCATAGAAAACCAGGATAACCATGGGTTGTTGTATAGGTTTTTTCGGGGTATATGGCCATGGTCTAGAGGCATTCTCTCCTGACATTTCGCCTGCATCTATGGCAAGCATCCTCAGAGGTAGTGAGGTCTGTTGGAACTAGGAAAAAGGGTTTATATATCTGTGGAGTGACCAGGGTGGGACAAAGGACTCTTGTCTGCTGGAGCTAGGGGGTGAATGTTTCAACTGACCACCTTGATTAGCATATAATGGCCTGACAGTGCCTGGAGCAAACTTTTGTTGAGAGGTGATTAGATGTCCTTGTTTGTTTCCTCTCTGTTGTTGTGCTGTTGTAATTTTAGAGTTTTTTTTAATACTGGTAGCCAGATTTTGTTCATTTTCATGGTTTCCTCCTTTCTGTTGAAATTGTCCACATGCTTGTGGATTTCAATGATAACCATATCTGAGAAACTAGAGCTGATGTGGTCTATTCTGAATCGGGACCCCCAAATAACCCCAGGAACAGGCCTAAAAACTAAGACACTAAGATTTTCATTTTGTCGGGCTGTGTAATACTGGTTAGTGGGCTAGTAATCATAGAATCATAGAGTGGGAAGAGACCATAAAGGTCATCTCTTTCTTCCATGCAAATCCTCCTGACAGATAGCCATCTAGTCTCTGTTTAAAGACCTCCAGAGAAGGGGACTTTTATCATTTTCCAGGGCAGCATTCCACTGTTTAACAGTTCTAGAAGATGTTCTTCCTAAAGTTTAGGTGGAATCTCTATTTCTGCCATTTGAATCTTTTGCTCCATTGTGTTCCAGTCTCTGGAGAAGCAGAAAACAAGCCATCTCCATCCTCATTGTGATCTCCTTTCAAATATGTCAACAATGACTCTCATGTCCCCTACTCTCAACCTTCTCTTCTTCAAGCTAAATGTCCCCACCTCTTTACACTACTCCTCATAAGGATTCAAGGTTTCCAACCTTTGATCCTTTTGATGACCCACCACTGGATTCCTTCTATCTTGGCCATCTTCTCCTTGACTTGCTTTGCCCAGAACTGGACACAGGGTCATTATTCCAAAGGAGGTCTCCACATATTTATTTATCATGTTAGGAGCAAACCAAACAGTTGTATTGCATTTTTTAACAAACAAACAAACAAAACACAAAGTTTGCAAGCTTGATAGTTGATTAGATGTCCTTTGACCAGTATCTGGCCACTTGGAGTGCCTCTGGTGTTGCCGCAAGGAGGTCCTCCATTGTGCATGTGGCTGGGCTCAGGTTGCATTGCAGCAGGTGGTCAGTGGTTTGCTCTTCTTCACACTTGCATGTCGTGGATTCCACTTTGTGGCCCCATTTCTTGAGGTTGGCTCTGCATCTCGTGGTGCCAGAGCGCAGTCTCTTCAGCGCCTTCCAAGTCGCCCAGTCTTCTGTGCGCCCAGGGGGGAAAGTCTCTCATCTGGTCTCAGCCATGGATTGAGGTTCTGGGTTTGAGCCTGCCACTTTTGGACTATCGCTTGCTGAGGTGTTCCAGCTAGTGTCTCTGTAGATCTTAGAAAACTATTTCTTGATTTAAGTCATTGACGTGCTGGCTGATACCCAAACGGGGGATGAGCTGGAGATGTCACTGAGCTGGAGGTCTCCACAAATCAGACTAGAGTGGGACTATTACTTCCTTTGAGCTAGACACCATACTCCTAATGAAACAAGCTCAATGGGCATCTGTTCATGAGTGTTCATGGATGGCAGCAGCTTGGATTAGATGGCCTTTTGGGGTCTCTTCCAACTCCATGATTGTTCATCTGGAGGTGAAAATGTGACCCCTAAAGAGAACAGTAGTTGGGTTTTACTAGCAAGCTGGAGGCAAACCAACTCTTTGTAAGAGATACGGACACACATACATTACTATTGAGTAATGGGGACACGACACATCTAAATCTTTCTCTCTCATATATATATATATATATATATATATATATATATATATATATATATATATAGTTTTCAAAAGAACAAAAATAAATAAACAGTACAAAAAAGGGGAAAATAGGTGGAAAATAAGTACCATAAAAAGGATAGAATATGTGAATTGTGGAGCTATGTGAGTTAATTACTAGTTCGATACATAAGGCAAATTGTATTATCAGAGACATAGAAGAATGGGGGGGGGGGAATTATCATTATACCTATTATTTAATAAGAGAAGGCAGTGAAGTAAAAGGAGAAGGGAAAAAAATCCATCACATCTTTTCTGACAAGAGCACCAAATTGTCCTTCCGGATCTGCGTTAGTTTCTTTTCTTTTATTGTCCCTTCTTCTCTTCCCTTCCAACTCTGTGTAATATTCCTACTCCTTATTTGATCAGTTAACAAATTTGAACTCTGTTTTTTCTAATCTTAATGGCAGTCAACTATATACATATGTGCTGCCTGTAATAATTGATTTTTTAAACAGGACGTGCTCTTTGTGCCCAGCGGGGAGCCGGGGTGCCTCGGGTGAGAGGCCTTCAAGGATTTTCCCATAAACAGTCTTTAAAAGGCTTGAAATGTTTAACAAAGTCCTTTATTATTGCTTAGGTCTTCAATAAAACAACAAACACTTCTTGGATCTTCAGCAGATTAAACAAATGCATCTTCACTTGCTCCAAAATGGACAGGCACCTTGCTTGGAGAACTATTTCTTTCCTTAACAAGGAAAACCCTTTTTTAACCCCTCCCAGGCAATCTACTGTCTAAGCTTTGCTGATGTGGGTTCTACTACCGGTTCCAATCTGTGTCTTGGGTCCCAAGTAGACCTACCAGTCAAGGCTATGTAGATTCTCCAGCTGGAGTTCTTTGGGTCTGCAAAACTGTTTTCTTCCAAAACTTTAGGACTGTTTCCCTCAGATGCTGTAAAGCTGAGAGACTGTAAGCTCCCAGCCAGAGCTTTGGGACTGTTTCCCCCCGGAATTTCTGCCCCGGATGCTGTAGGAAATGAAGCTTTTCTACGGATGGAGCTAATCCACGTCCTGTAGCTTAGCTTTCCACTATAAGACTGAACTAAAAATGGCTCCCTCTCTTCCCATGGCCCTGGGGAAAGGGGCGGAACCAAACCTTAACAATGATAGACAGGTGGCTAGCCCTATGATTGCAAACCAAGGGAAGCCACCTTGTTGTAAATGCATGGAACCTTGGAATATATGCAAACACTCAATAGAAAGGAAACAAAGCTGAAGCTCCTGGTACAGCCATACCAGCACAACATATCTTAAAGTTAATTTAATTTGTTAATAGATTAGTAATATGCATGTAAATAGTATTCATTTTAAATACTATTTATTGCTTCTTTTCTCACAGATTTAAGAGTTTTTCATTATGTTGGTGTGACATGCCTACACACTGGAGCCGACACACTTATTGTGTTATGACACACAGTTTGGAAAGCTCTGCCTTGAGGCATATAGGGAAGGTTCGCTAGGTTTTAGGAGACCTTGGCCGCGTGGGAATGTCCACTCCTGCGTCTCTCTGACTTTTTGGCTCCCTTGCAGGAAAGATGGCCACTCTCCACGTGACGCCCATGCCGAAGTGCCGCATCGACAGCTTCTACCGCAAGAACGGGGCCTTCTCTTTGCTGCATCCACGGGACGTGGCTCTCTGAGCCACATTGCTCCTATGTTTCCTCTGTCCGCAAACAAGAAACCACAATCTGTGCTATGTCTTCACTGTTTTATTTGCAGATGCTTTGTTGGTGAAAAAGTTTTGTCATTATTTTTGAATTTAACTTGTGCCAAACCTTGTCATTTTGACTTATAGTTTTCCAATCACGACCTCCCTGCAACCGCCGCACCCCTGGACAAACAAGTGCCACAGAGGCAAGCAAAACATAATGTTAGAGACCCTAAATTGGGTCTTCTTAGGTCCACATCACGGGAACACATAAGGAAGGAGACAGTCCCAAAAAAAGATTCAAAAACAAGGTTTATTTTAGTTTTTTCATGAAGAAGACGGACAGCCTGGCAGCATACCCTTCAAGTGACTGCTGCTCCCCTCCTCTGTTTCTGCTGACTTTTGCACTCAAGTAATAGGTCATGGAAAGTACTCTCTTTCCAGCCCCTCTCCCTTGACCTTTTGATGGAAAGTACCTTCTTGTACCTGCAGACTCTGTGCTTAACCACAACCTTTGGCTTAACCACAACACAACTACTTCCTATGTAGGCTTGAACTTTGTATAACCTCTACATGTCACATCTTGTTTCTCAAATACATTATCTTCCGTGTTGCTCCTTTTCTACAGAGAAAGGGTATATTTCTCTTTTGCTGTTAATTTCATTCAAAGCCCCTTGCTTAGCATTTGCAAATTTCACTCAAAGACCCTTTCAATAACAGAGTCCATTCACAACAAAAATGCAGAGTCAATTATCCAGCCAGCTGGTCAGCAGAGGGGTCGCCAAAGACCATCCGAGAAAACGGTATTTTCTGTTGGTCATGGGGGTTCTGTGTGGGAAGTTTGGCCCAATTCTATTGTTAGTGGAGTTCAGAATGCTCTTTGATTATAGGTGAACTATAAATCCCAGGAATTACAACTCCCAAATGTCAAGGTCTATTTTCCCCAAACTCCACCAGTGTTCTGATTTGGACATATTGAGTATTTGTGCCAAGTTTGGTCCAGATCCATCATCGTTTGAGTCCACAGTGCTCTCTGAATGTAGGTGAACTACAACTCCAAAACTCAAGGTCAATGCCCACCAAACCCTTCCAGTATTTTCTGTTGCTCATGGGAGTTCTGTGTGCCAAGATTGGTTCAATTCCATCATTAGCACAGTTCAGAATTATCTTTGATTGTATTTATTTATTATTTATTTATTTATTTATTTAATACACTTGTATACCGCTAATATCTCAGCCTGGATTGGCGACTCATTGCGGTTTACAACAATTAAAACAATCTCCATTTTAAAAACATATACACATACAATTCAAATTATTGGGCCACCAATAATAATCCCATATATCTTGAATTAAAATCATAATCCAGAATTCGTTGTCCATATTTTCCTGTCCTTAGTCATCAAATTCGATTGCCACAGATTAGCCGAATGCTTGTTTGAATAACCATGTTTTCAGTCTCTTCCTGAACACCATTAGCGAAGAGGCTGACCGTACCTCTATAGGGAGGGTGTTCCAAAGCCGGGGGGCCACCACAGAGAAGGCCCTGTCTCTCGTTCCCGCCAGCCGCACTTCTGAAGCTGGAGGGATAGAGAGAAGGGACTCTCCAGAAGATCTTAGGGTCCTGGTGGGCTGATAGGCTGAGATACGTTCAGATAGATAAGTTGGGCCAGAACCGTTTAGGGCTTTAAAGGCCAACGCCAGCACTTTGAATTGAGCCCGGTAGCATATCGGCAGCCAGTGGAGCTGGTTCAGCAGAGGAGTTGTATGCTCCCTGCGCCCTGCTCCTGTTAGAATCATGGCTGCCGCCCGTTGGACTAGTTGGAGCTTCCGGACTGTCTTCAAAGGCAACCCCACGTAGAGAGCGTTGCAGTAATCAAGGCGGGATGTAACCAGAGCGTGGACTACCGTGGCTAAGTCAGACTTCCCAAGGTACGGTCGCAGTTGGCGCACAAGTTTTAACTGTGCGAAAGCTCCCCTGGTCACCGCCGAAACCTGGGGTTCCAGGCTCAGCGATGAATCCAGGATCACCCCCAAACTGCGAACCTGCGTCTTCAGGGGGAGTGCGACCCCGTCTAACACAGGCTGTAACCCCATACCCTGTTCGGCCTTACGACTAACCAGGAGTACCTCTGTCTTGTCTGGATTCAATTTCAATTTGTTCGCCCCCATCCAGACCGTCACAGCGGCCAAGCACCGGTTCAGGACCTCGACAGCCTCCTTAGTAGCAGGTGGAAAGGAGTGACAGAGTTGAACATCATCTGCGTACAGATGACATCGCACTCCGAAACTCCGGATGATCTCGCCCAGCGGCTTCATGTAGATGTTAAACAACATGGGAGACAGTATTGAACCCTGAGGAACCCCACAAGACAAAGGTTGTGGGGTTGAACAGGAGTCTCCCAGTAACACCTTCTGAGACCGACCCTCGAGGAATGAGCGGAGCCACTGCAGAACAGTACCTCCAAGACCCATCCCCGCGAGGCGTCCCAGAAGGATACCGTGGTCGACGGTATCGAAGGCCGCTGAGAGGTCGAGCAGCACCAACAGGGACACACTCCCCCTGTCGAGCTCCCGACGCAGATCATCCACTAAGGCGACCAAGGCTGTCTCGGTACCATGCCCCGGCCTAAAGCCAGACTGTGCCGGATCCAGATAATCGTGTCTACCAAGAATGCCTGGAGTTGTGAGGCCACCACACGTTCCATGACTTTGCCCAAAAAGGGGAGATTGGAAACAGGCCGATAGTTGACGAATTGAGTGGGGTCCAGAGATGGTTTCTTCAACAGCGGTTTTATTACAGCTTGCTTTAAGCTGGCTGGAATTTTGCCTTCCCGAAGGGAGGCATTAACCACCACCTTCACCCACTCGGCCAATCCCCCTCTGGCCTCCTTTAGAAGCCAGGATGGGCAGGGGTCTAGGATGCATATGGTAGCTCTCATTCCTCCAAGCACCTTGTCCACATCCTCGGATTGAACCAATTGAAATGAATCCATCAAAACCGGACAAGCAGATGCTCGTGTTACATCCTCAGATACTGCCGTTAATATGGTATCCAGTCCAGAGCGGATCAAAGTGACTTTGTCTGCGAAGAACCGAGCAAAAGCTTCGCAGCGAGCTGCCGAGTCATCAGGGCACCCATCCTGAGTGGCGGGTTTTAATAGGCCTCTGACAACTCGGAACAGTTCAGCCGGACGGTTCTTCGCAGACGCAATAGAGGCCGCAAAGAAGATTTTCTTTGCGGCCTTTATTGCCGCGGCATATGCCCTTAAGAAGGACACAAACCATGTTCGGTTTGGCTCGCTCGGATCCGAACGCCACACGCTCTCTAGTTCCCTCTTCTTTCGCTTCAACGCTGCCAGCTCCTCGGTAAACCAAGGAGCTGGTTTAGCTCGGCTACTTGAGAGGGGACGTTCTGGAGCGATCGTGTCTATTGCCCTAGTCATCTCCCCATTCCAGAGAGCGACCAGGGCATCAACAGGATCACCAACCGCGGTGGCGGGGAATTCCCCAAGAGCTGTCAGGAATCCATCCGGATCCATAAGCCTCCTGGGACGGACCAATTTAATAGGTCCTCCACCTCTGCGGAGGTTAGGGGGATGCAGTGAGTCTAAAGCTGACCAGGTGGTGGTCGGTCCATGGCAACGGAGAGATGGATAACTCCTCAACACCGCCACCTTCCTCCCATTCCTGGCAGAAAACCAAGTCCAATGTATGTCCAGCACTGTGGGTGGGGCCAGATACTTGTTGGGACAGCCCCATGGTTACCATGGTAGACATGAAGTCCTGAGCCGCTCCCGATGAGGCGGACTCGGCGTGGATATTGAAGTCCTCCAGCACAAGCAGCCGTTGGGACTCCAACACCAGGTCCGAGACCACCCCTGCTATCTCAGTCAGGGAGTCTGAAGTGCAGCGAGGTGGACGGTACACTAACAGAATCCCTAATCTGTCCCGGTCACCCACCTTCAGGTGGACGCATTCAAATTTTGTTGACTGCGGGATGGGGGCCCTGGTCAGAAGAATGGTGTCTCTATAAACCACTGCAACTCCGTAGGTGAACTATAAATCCCAGGAGCTACAACTCCCAAATGCCATGGTCGTTTCCCCCCAAACTCCACCAGTGTTCACATTTGGGCATATTAAGGATTTGTGCCAAGTTTGGTCCAGATCCATCATTGTTTGAGTCCACAGTGCTCTCTGGATGTAGGTGAACTACAACTCCAAATTTCAAGGTCAGTGCCCACTAAACCCTTCCAGTATTTTCTGTTGGTCATGGAAGTCCTGTGTGCCAAGTTTGGTTCCATTTCATCGTTGGTGGAGTTCAGAATGCTCTTTGATTATAGGTGAACTATAAATCCCAGCAACTACAACTCCCAAATGACAAAATCAATCCCCCCCAACCCCATCAGTATTCAAATTTGGGCCAAATTTGGTCCAGTGAATGAAAATATATGCTGTATACCAGATATTTACATTAGGATTCCTAACAGTAGCAAAATTATCGTTATGAAGTAGCAACAAAATCATTTCATGGTTGGGGGTCACCGCAACATGAGGAACTGTATTAAGGGGTCACAATAATAATATAAATAATAATAACACTTTATTTATACCCCGCTAGCATCTCCCCAGGGGACTCGCTGCGGCTTACATGAGGCCGAGCCCAGAATACGACAATACAAGCAATAACAACAACAATACAAGCAATTAAAATCAAACAAAACAGTAAAACAATAACATAAGCATTAACAATAGGACAACACACTTTAAAATCAATGGGTAGGCCAAATGTAAGTAAACATTAAAAATAATGCTCGACATAGGCGAAAAAGTGATGGGGCGTTTGTGGAAACATGCAAGCAGACCTAAAACAATATAAAGTGCTTTGGAGGACAAAGTGCTATGGGAGCATTATTCTGGGAAGGCACACTGGAACAACCACGTCTTCAAGCTCCTCCTAAAGACTGCCAGAGTTTGGGCATGCCTGATGTCCTTAGGAAGTGAGTTCCAGAGTCGAGGGGCCACCACCGAAAAGGCTCTCTCTCTTATCCCCATCAATCGTGCCTACGATGCAGGTGGGAGCGCGAGCAGGGCCTCTCCAGATGATTGAAGAGATCGCGTGGGTTCGTATACAGAGATGTGGTCACGCAGGTAGGTGGGTCCCAAACTGTTCAGGTCTTTGGAGGTGAGAACCTGCAACTTGAATTGGGTCCAGAAAATGAATGGCAGCCAGTGGAGCTCCTTAAACAGGAGGGATGACCGCTCCCTGTAAGGAGCCCCAGTTAACAACCTGGCTGCCGCCCGTTAGACCATCTGGAATTTCCGAGCCGTTTTCAAGGGCAGCCCCATGTAGAGTGCATTACAG